GGTTTCCACACTTCATGAAGCAGCACAACTGTGTTCAGCATTGATGATCATCAGAAATGTTTCTCGAGCAGCAGATCAGCATATTATACTGATTTCTGAAGATCATGTGACACTGAAGACTGGAGGAATGATGCTGAAAATACAGCTGCGCATCACAGAAATACATTACAGTTTAACAGATATTCACACATCTGTTTTACATTCTAATAATATTTCACTGTTTTTACTGTGTTTTTGACTACTTTTCAGAACTGCAAACTATTGAACGGTATATTCATGCACCAAAAAATAAATAAATAAAAATAAATGAAATGAAAAAAGTGAATGAAAATGAAACGTAACATGACACAGGTCACTGAGAGCCTCATTAGGTGCTAAATAAACCCCTGCGTGTCTTTGAAAGGTAGCGTAATTCTGCTCCGTCCAGTAACGGCTGTTAAAGCTGCTATCACGAAACTTCACATGTAATAAACAAGAGGGAAAAAACATACATTCATAACAAAAGCAATAATAAATGATTTAAAAATAGTCAGTGTATACAGTTAGACCAGCGTTTACAGTTTTTCTCGATTGCTAACGCACTATAACTGATTCGTTTGGCACAGATTTCCAAACCATTCATACAGTTCCTGAAACAAAGACGTTTCTCAAAACCTTTAACACATTTCATCTGTTGTGTTTTCAGCTAAACTCTACACAAGAACGGCATCGTTTTGCACAGGTTTAACCATGTTCTCATTCAGAAAACACAAACTCACGATATAACTACCTCAAGAATCACAATATAAACTCAAACAGCACACATGTATGCATGTGTGAACATTCAGCAGCTAAACTGATGACACACAGCTCAGAATCTCAGGATGATATGAACAAGAGCTCAGCTGATTGTGTGAGAATGAATCCTGGTAGTGCGAGACAGAGAGGAAGAGGAGGGGGAGAAACTGAAGGGGACGGGGTCAAAGCACATTTATTCCTGATGAAATACACAGCGCTGTAGCTGATCATGCTCTTGTGCATGAGGACAGCTGGCCTACAGGCTTTCAACACTACTGACAGATCAAATATAATGACAGAACAGCAGTACTTCAGATGAGAGAACTTTAGCGTTTTATATATTATATTATATTATTGTAGCCAGGTACAGTACTTCTCACATGTACTGTATTTTTGCAGAACTGAGAGATGAGTCTATATTCTGTTGTGTTCTTATGCAATTCTTTGGTATTTGAGCTTGTCCTGTCTAGTGCTTTTCATCTACTGTACTGTAAGATCTCTTTACAGCAGTGTAATGAAAATAATATTTTCTTACTGTAAAGCTTATTGTGGAAGTTCACCGTATCTGCTATATTTACTGTAACATGCATCTGCTCTAATGATGTTGTATACTGTAAGAGACACTGAGCTGTAAAATGACACCTGATTGGCAAAAGAAGGTTTCTGCAACAGTGTTCTGAACCGATCTCATGAGTGTGTACGACTGTGTTGTTGTGTGTGTGTTTCTGAGGTCTGAGGGCAAAGTTTGGGGTTTTTCAGCAAGATTGTATGGTTTTGAGTGGAGAGCTTCATTTTGACCTGAAAATAGGAAGTATGGGGAATTGGGTGAGAAGTTATGGGTTTGTGTTTAGAGTTTAGAGAAAATGAGTCACAAAAGAAGAAAGAAATGTGTTTAAGCAATCGAGAAAAAAATTATTTCATATTTATTCTGACACTTTAAATGAATGAGTGTTTTTATAACAGTAAAATATCTTGTCATTCAGTATTTATGTTTTACTGTACCACTTAAATAAAAATGTTATTTAAAAATGTAAATTTTGAGTGTGTGTGGGTGAAAGAGAGTGAGTGTGTGTGTGTGTGTGTGTGTGTGAAAGAGAGTGAGGTGTGTGTGTGTGTGTGTGTGTGTGTGTGTGTGTGTGTGTGTGTGTGTGAAAGAGAGTGAGTGTGTGTGTGTGTGTGTGTGTGTGTGTGAGAGAGAGAGTGAGTGTGTGTGTGTGTGTGTGTG